ACGGGCCGTTGACCCGGACTGACCCCGTGGCTGAAATTTCTCCCTGGTATTTGCTCTTGTCCGCCCCTTCGGACCACCGTTCAAGTGTGACGCAGCGTTTCGGCTTCCAGGAGACGGCGGCATGGATTCTGTTGGGCGACGGGCGACGTGCCGTCGTTATGGCTATGCAGTCTGCGGCTCCGCAGGGTTCGTGGCATTGGGGCGTGTTTGACCGTGGGCCCTCGAGCCGTTCCGCCAGCGGGCAGGCGGGCTCGCGCGCGCGTGCCCGGGGTCGGCTGTGGGCTGCGTGACTGCCCGCACGAGGCGCCTCCAAGGTGCCCTTGGCGTTCTTTCCACGCTCGTTACGGCGCCCATTGTCGTGCTTACCTACAGGGTGTGTGTCCTTGTTAACGATTCGCCTCTTTGCCATTGGCCATGCTGTTTCTCTTCCCGCCCCTCCATCTCTCCCCTCCCCCCTAACCTTCTCTAACTCCTACTCGCCCTCCAACGTCAGCACCCGGTTCCTAATCCTTTGCACGCCCCTGCCATCTAAATAGTTTATTTGTTTTTTTATGTTAAAGAAAGTTGTTTAAAGGCTCTTTATAAAAATAAAATAAGAAAAGGTACGATAAGATTTCACCATTTACTTAACCGGCAATTCGGATGAAATGTCCGTGTTGCTAAGGAAGCATCGAAGAAACTTCATTTGCATTTGCACGGCAAAGCCCTCATCTTTAACTCGCTGAATAATTATCACTGCTGCTATACAGAGTTACAGATTAGGCCCAAGTTGGAATCCTGCTGCTGTTATATCTGGCGTGGAGCCTCCAGTTCCTACCTCACCGCACCCGATAGAGTTCAACGTAAAGCAGTCGGGGCGATTGATGATCCAGTACTCGCCAAATCGCTCCAGTCACGAACGTGACCGCAATGGTGGTCGGTCGCCTTCTTATCGCTGCTCTATCGCTACTACCACCATGGCTACCGTTCCCATGACCTTTACTCGTTGATTTTATGAACTCTTTAGCTCTTACATGGTGCTGTTAGTGGCAGGCTGCTTGGCAATTTTGGGTCATTGGAGCTGTGGATCAGCAAAGTATGATAAAATAACAAAAAACGGGGCTGGGATGGATTTCAAGAATCGATTATTTTCTGCTGTTTTTACCGGCGCTCGTTTCTCACCGGCTGCCGCCTTATTTCCCCCCCCCCCCGACTCATTCCTACAATTTTGTTCGCCCCGTCAGGACAACCGTAGGATCGGCATCATTTATTTGCTCGTGGCTTGAATCGCGGATAATACAATCTAACGTGAATGATTCGACGGAGGTCATCGCGAGTGGGGGGGGGGGAATCGAATTTTATCGATGAATTTCGCGGTGGCAGTGGTGGTGGGTGGGTGTTGGTGGGTGGTGGTGGTGGGTGGGTGTAGTACCGTGTGCCCTGTGCTGCTAATGCCCAAAAATGCTGCCTTGCAAGTTCTGCTCCTCTCCTTTTGTCCGTGCGATGAATTGGCACAAATACTTAAGAACTTAAATTTCGATTTAAAGCTTTCGTGACTACAGGGATTCATCTTCTTGGTTCTTTCGGTAAAGTCACGTAGAAGGGAAATAATAAAATAATGTTTTGTTTTTATTATTTTATTATTTCCCTTCTACGTGACTTTACCGAAAGAACCAAGAAGATTTATGAACTTCTCTGATTGTTTATCAAACGTGGAAAAAAACAACCCATCCCATTCTCTCAACAGCAGCCAAGCCCAGCAACATAAAAATTTTGATCCCTTTTTATTTACTTAATGACTTTAAAATGTAAAATGTTTAGTTCATTGCCAATCCACTGCTGGATGAAGCTTTCCCCATCCATCTTCTTGATCATGGGGAATGTTTGACCATACTTCACCGCGCTTGTCAATGCGGATTGGTAAATACAGGCCGGGTGTGGGGTGAGGGTGTCCAGGTCCAGTTCGGATGGCACTCTTCACTGACGCTAGCCGCAGCCGGGTATTCAACTCGGGATTCATGGTCCAGTGTTGCTAACCGCTGTGCCACCGCTCTGCCCCGTTCACCACCATATTTCCCCAACAAACAAAATAACTGAATGGGCGCAGTCCATCATTCACGGGTGTTCGGTGTCCTTTTGACCATACTTCGCCACGCTGGTTAATGTGGATTGCTGATAAAGAGCCCAGTGGAGGGGTGTTTGTTCAGGACTGGTTGGGATGTCGCTCTCCACTAACCGTTAGCCCGCAGCTGGGAATCTAACTCTGGTTGCTGGGTTCGAAGGACGCGGGTGGGCGCTAACCACTGCGCCACTGCTCTTCTCTGTACGCGTGCGAACTCGTGAAGACTCGTGTGTGTGTGTGTGTGCGTGTGTGCGTGTGTGTGTGCGTGTGTGTGTGTGGGCAACACTGTCGTGGACATTGCTGTGGGGGGAGGGCCAATGCCCATTGGCCTCTCCCCTCATGGCGTCTGTGACCACCACAGTGGCTAAACGGGGGCTCTGGACGGGTGTGAGGGGCTGGTAACCCCTCCACCTTCAATTCATTACCACTAAACCACGAATTAAACATAAACCTGTACCAGGGAAGGCACCGGGCAGAGATGATCTCCCAAGCGAAATGCTGAGGGAGGGTGGCGTTTGTGCACAGACTGCCCTATATGACATCATAACAACAGTCTGGACCACTGGACGGGTTCCGCAGGACTGGAAGGATGCCCTGGTGGTCCCCCTCTTTAAGAAGGGGGACCGCACAGACTGTAACAACTACAGGGGCATCTCACTCCTCAGTGTGCCGGGTAAGGTCCTGGCAAGGATTATTCAACATCGCCTTGCTAGGCACGCTGAGGAGGGGCTTGCGGAGCCCCAATGCGGTTTCAGGAAAGGGCGGTCCTGCACAGATGCCATATTTTCTGTCCGTCTGCTACAGCAGAGGTGTAGGGAATTCCAAAAAGACCTACATCTCTGCTTTATTGACCTGGTCAAGGCCTATGATACCATCAGTAGGACTGGACTCTGGGTTGTTCTTCGTGCTTTCGGAGTCCCTGACCCTCTGCTCACGATCATTAAGGACCTTCATGATGGTGAGCGGGCCCGGGTAAAACTACGTGGCCGGGAGTCGGAGCCTTTCCCTGTACACCTTGGGGTGCGACAGGGATGTCCTCTGGCTCCCACATTATTTAACATCTATTTTGACCGCGTAGTTCGTGAAGCCTTCAATAGCTGTACCGGGGGAATTTCCGTTTGGTACAGATATAATGGGAGGCTGATCGACGCCCGGGTGCGATCAAGGGATGGCTCCCTATTGGTCAACCACGTTATGTATGCCGATGATTTGGTAATAGCTGCTCATTCAGAAGAGGAGTTGGAGGCGCTGCTGCTGAGACTGGAGCGTGCCACTAAGAGGTGGGGCCTTACCATCAGCCCCACCAAAACCAAGCACCTGCCTGGGTATTTTGTACCATCGGACACTCCACCCCCACAACTCCCAATTGGTGATGGGGCAGTTGTGGAGAGAGTGGAGAGTTTCCCATACCTGGGCAGTATGCTTATGACCGGCTCCAGTCTATCAGCAGAGGTCTCACTCCGAATCAGTCGAGCGGCAATATCTTTTCATCGGTTGCGTAACGCTGTGTGGAAGCTACCTGGTCTGTCGCTCCGCACGAAGCTTCAGGTCTTCTCGGCCACGGTCATTCCCTCCCTTCTCTACGCTTGCGAGACGTGGACCCCCCTGGTGGAGCATCTTCGCCGGTTGGAAACATTTAGGCTGGCCTGCCTACGATCCATCCTGGGTTTAACCAGGCTGGATTGTGTGAGGAGCTCACAAATCCTTGAAAGATCTGGGCAAAGTCCCATCAGTGAGCTCCTCCGGCAGGCAAGGCTGCGTTGGCTGGGTCATGTAGCCCGCATGCCCAGCCACCGCATGCCTAAACAGCTTTTGTTCGGCCGGATCGAGGGGGCTAGACGGGCGCGGCACGGGCTGGAGAAGAGATGGAGTGATGTGGTACAGGAGGACGTGGAGCTGAGTGGACTTGCCGATGACTGGTACCAGCGGTGTCAAGATCGGCCTCAGTGGAGGAGGCTCGTGAAGGACGCTACTGGGCAGTTGGAGGCAGTCGCCCTCCAACAACAACGGAGGGCGGAGGAGCGACGCTCACAACAACGAGCGGAGCGCCGGGTGGCTAAAGCACAGCAAGTTGGCACAGTAGGGGGCACAGGTGGTGCATCAGCCAGTCATCTCGGTCATCTCGGTCAGTCGACCAGTGGCACCTGGGTCTGCCCCGTGACCTCCTGCCAGCGGGCTTTCGACACTTCACGTGGCCTCAAGGTGCACTTGGCCTGGCACAAGCATCGTGGTGACGTCACCGCCACTTAGTGGCGAATGGCGGTTGTTGTTGTTGTTGTGTGTGTGCGTGTGTGCGCGCGTGTGTGTGTGTGCGTGTGTGTGTGTGTGCGTGTGTGTGTGTGTGCGTGTGTGCGTGTGTGTGTGTGTGCGTGTGTGTGTGTGTGTGCGTGTGTGCGTGTGTGTGTGTGTGTGTGTGCGCGCGTGTGTGCGCGTGTGTGTGTGTGGCGGAGCCGGGGAGACGCAAGGCGTGCCGGGCCTTCTGCTGCCAAGTGTGTGCAGAGTGCGTCTGCTCCCCCGTCTTGCGTTTCATCTGCATCTCGGCGGGGCCACTTGGCAGCCTCGCACATGTGCAAGGCCCTACGAAAACAAACCTGGATTTTCTATAAATGTTCAAAATTGTTATTCGCGCGGTGGCTAGCGATCTTGGCCATTAACCTGGCTAGCCCCGGTTCGACTCCCAGCCACGGCTAACTAGTCTCAGTGTTCCCCTTCACCCCCTTCTGTCATCGCCTGACCAATGCGGTAAAGTATGGTCAAACAATCCCCACGACCGACATGGCATGGGAAGGCCTTCATCCAGCAAGTGGATGAACACATATATGCAGTAGCGTATGTAATATTTGTTTTGAAACCGTACGCCGTGTATATTAATGATGCGAACGGCATTCTTCTTTTTCAGGACCCAAGACCGTTTTCTTCTACGCCCCGCTCGTCAAATGGGTGAGCAAAGCCCTCCCAGAGAGATTTACGTCGGGATGGCGCCACAGCTTCGCCAAACGCTCCCGTCCGCTCGCAATCACCCGGGGCGATGACGCAAAACATATTCCTAGATTGAGGCCACGTAGAATCGGGGGGGGTTTAGGACGTGGGACGAGCGCCGCCCGTTTATCATCTGCATCCTCGAGGAGTCGGTTGTACACGTTGACCGCCGTGTTTGTGGCCACGTGGGCAACGGCCCATCGACAAGGTGAGGAGCAAGCGCGCATCGGGGAGCTCTTTGCCGTATTCTCTGGATTACGAGACGCTCCGGAAAGTCAATAAAGTTACTGCGATCGCACTCGCAGCGACTGGATTGAAAGACGGACCCCACAAATGTTATCTTTAAATAAAGCGATGGGGGGAAAGTGCGTATAAGTTATTTTATCATTACACTTGTTTACGCAGGAAAGCCTCACTGAATCTCAGTGGGTCCTGCCAATATTCCACAGTGCTGGAGGGGGAGGTAGCGATGATTGCTTCCTGTATATTCCATTGGAGTAACCTGCGAGCAACCTTTACAAATGTGAAACCATTAACGCTGGCACGCAATGGCGCTACTCTTGCGACCGACAGCACAGGATCTTTAACGCCCACCGCGAAGCAGGCGGCACGTCTTCATTTTGATCGTTCAGACACCCCAAGCAGCGATTACGAGGGTGGCCCGCCGGAATGGAACCGCGAACCTCTGCAACGAGCGGCGGATGCACCACACCTGGGTCGCGTCACCAGCTCAACACAACGACAAATATCCCCCGTACAGCCTTAATAAACTGTTGGGGAAAGTGCTGTTACCGAGCACCTATGAAGGCCAGCACGGCACACGGAGGGGGTGGTTGTCTCCCGAGTGGCGATGTTTACACAATGAACCAGGTACTCATTTGAGACCGAGTCGACCTAGGGGAGACCCACAACCAGTTCAGATCATCATAACTGGTGTTGGCCGTGAGCGGGAATCGAACCCGGGTCGATAAGTTCATCGTGCAGCGCGCTAAACCGCGACACCACTGCTCTCCACACACATCAAATGTGAGGTTTACAAATCTCCTGCATCTCCTGAATTGCGTTTAGGTTGGGTAATATAGTTCAGCTTATCGTCAGAATGCTATCCAGTATTGTCTCAGCAACACGTAGAATACAGTAACCGAATTAATCGTGAATAAGCAAGCCCCTAGTGACAGTGGCTGTCGCATGCCCACGCGTGTGTAAACATGTGGCGTAGGACGCAGTGTTTGCAGTTTCATGACCTTGTTTAACGTCACCGTTTTCCAAACCCCTCTCTGCGGCAACCGCTTCGTTCCCCCCATCGCAGCGGTCGCACTTGAACCGTTTCGACCGGTCACAGGTTGATTTTCGTAGAACCAGGTAGGGAACTTAAACACGGAGAACGCAGTCTCATTTGCGAGAGGTGAGACGAGGTCACCAAAACGACAAAAAAAAAGATCTTCTAAACTACGTACGGCCGTGCAGCGAATATAAATCGGTGCAAAAACAAACTGCCTTAGGGAAGACATCGAAAACGGTGCACAAAACATAAGTCCATAGCAACTAAAAAAATATATACACTTCCAGTGACAACGGTTGGATCGAACAAATTGCTTTCAAAAAACATTCTCGGTTAAAAACATTCCGTGACAGAAACGTCAAGGGAAATGTAAGGTGACTGCAGTGGAATTGCGTCCCTCAACTGTATATAAAATAAAAATACAAATAAAAACTAAAGCCACACCGAGTCTGAAGAGGGTCCTGCCACACTGGGAAGTTTGCCCAACGCCGATGACACTCCAATTGTTTTTATCTATGGGAAGAATCCCACACAGAACAGAGAGAGAACATTAAAAACTCCACACGCAGAAAGGCACCCGGGTCGGGAATCTAACCCATGCCCTTCTCACTACGAGGCACGATTGTTACTACTGTGCCGCTCTGTGTTCCTCAACCTCACCCGAACCCCACTCGTCTCGCTTGACCCCCAACCAACCCCAACCACCCCCGCCACCCCCAAACCCTTCCTGACCCTAGGGGCTGGTGATGGCCGGAATGGCCGATATGGCGCGACCTGCTGACAAGCTGAGCGCAAGCCAATCCGGCGTCCTCTGCTTATCTGGTAACATAATCGCGCCATACACTCCAGTGGACACACACACACACACACGCGCACGCGTGCACTTGCAAGCACGTACACACGTACACGCTTGCATGCAAGGACCTCATCGGCACATGACTAAAGACAAAGATCTTGCTGTAGCCATGCAGGCTGTCGTGGCGGCACGTGCCGTTAGCGAGCTGCATCTTTTTTATTTGCAATAATAACCGGCAAGGATGTTTCTGCTACATCCCCGCCACCCCCAGTTAACACACACACACACGGGTACCAAGACAGACACAGAATACTTGCACGCGCACAAATATACCCCGTGTAGCCAACACAGGCTGTTGGGGCAGTTGCTGTTAGCAAGCACCTATTAAGGACAGAATAACGCACAAGGGAATGGTATGGCTGTTACCACACCCGGCCACCTTTGTCTCCCCAGTACACAACCTAGGGAGGAGGTCCAGCAATGTTTTAGATATTGGTCAATGGTGTTACTTAGCCCTTGAGCTACCTGGGACCCTACACATTTGCATAGTTTCCTTAAGCCTAGCACCGCCACTGTATACACAAAGATCCCCTGTATAGCATCAACAGGCTGTTGGGGCAAGTGCTTTCAGTGAACACCTACGAAGGCCGGAACAACATACAAAAGGGAGTGGATAGCCAGCACCACGCCCGGCCGCCTTTGTCTCCCCAGTGCTGATATTTTACACACTGCACCAGGTACTAATTTGTGGCTGAGTCGATCTAAGAGGGGCCCAGGACCGGTTCAGGTAATCGTCACTGGTATTGGCCCTGCTCGCTAGCCGCTACACCACCCCTTCCCACTGTATTTACACACGCGTGTACACACACACACTTGCACTGCACAGCCAGGAAGCCACAGCAGAATAAGGAATGTGTATCGCCTCCTGGCATTTAGCCAGCCTTGCAGAGCTTAAGAGGAAAACTCAACACGTTGTGCTCATCGTGCTTGTAAATTATGATTAACGTACGTATGTATGTTGAACTTCTTTCGCACAGGACTTAGCCAACCGTGCTAGAAATTTAATAGTTTTATAGCAGAATAGAAATTACTCGGCGCATTACACTGGTCAACACACTTTTTCTGGCATAAGGTATTACAACGGTTTTAAGGTAATTTTGGGGTGCTGATTCCAAATTTGGCATCAGTTTTTGTCTATCACATCAGGTTTTTGAGATATCAAAAATTGCATTTTCAATAAAAACTGCAGAAGAAAAATATTAAATAAATGTGGATATCTACATAAAATGATATAAACACATTATCCTAAAAATACAGCACCATATTTTAACACTAAAGCAGTCACTGACTCGCAACAACTTGCAATCATAAGTGACAGAGTTAATTTCGGGTAAAATCAATGAAAATGGGGTATGCCGATAGCATAAAAATGATGTAATAGAGCAAATCTGAGATCAGATTTGGAATCGGCACCCTGAAATTAGTCTAAAACAGCTGCAAAAGTTTAGGCCAGAAAAAAATGTTTTTTTTTTGTTGACCAGTGTTATTAATTTGAGATTACGCACAGCAGTAACCATCGCCCCCTGCTGGCAGACTAAGCCTGCCCGGAGGCTATGTGCCGAGTTGTCTTCTGCCGCACAGGGACAGCTGCCACTAAGGGTGCCCTTCGAATGTGTTGAGGTCCTCTTGTCATCATAGGCCACCGTCATGTTTGCTGAAATTTATTGTGATGGTGACCTTAGGCAACAGGATCACAATGCAGTTATTCAGGAACTGCTGATGGTATTTGCACAATACACAAACGCTGCGATTCGAACATTTGTCCAGGGTTTAAAAAGCTGAAACGCATTCCTCCCGGTCAATATGATCCAAATTCAATTCTCAAGACTCTTTCTCAGGAGGCTCCCCCTGCTACGTTGGGGCGTTTGGCCAATTCCTTTGTGGAGACTTGGGCTTCATGTTGGAGGAAAGCCGGGAATTCCGTAGAAAAAACACACCACGTGTCACGCGACGGGGGGGGGGGGGGGGGGGGGGTGGGGTGACACTCATCCATCTCCTGGGATGTATCGAGCAGCATCACGCCTACAGCACCTTGCAAGCCCCTCACGATCACCCCGTCCAAGTTCCAGCCAGGCTCAAGCCCGCTTAGCTTCTGAGATACGACGAGAAACCTGGCAAATTCAGGATGATTTGATTTCAGGCTGCGTCAATATTTACAAAACTACGTGCATGTCGCAGTCACTTTTCGGCACGATGTTATAATTGGCTCCATTTCAATTAAAAATTTGTGACTCGTAATTGGTAAACATCTCACTACCTATTACTTCCGCCGCTGCGGAAGAAAGTGTTGCGCGATATTATTTTCTGCATTAGTCGCAGTGATAAATTAGTCATGCAGCTTGTTGTATTCCCCAGCCGTTCACGCGCGACGCGCGTTCCCGATGTCAAACACAGTGGAGCATTAATATTTACGCGACAGATTAGCCGGGTGCACTCCTCCTCCTCCCCACCCTCTTCGCTGTCAAATCATCGCGCATCCGCCAAATTCATTTCCATTTCTGGAGAGGCACTGAGACGCCGTCCTCCTGATGCCGCCGCATGTTTATAACCGAGACGCTTTCACTCGACATGCGTTATTGCAAACGTGGCCCGAACGGCTGCGAATTCACCGCCGCGCGGGGTTTTCCGCAATCGTGCTCTCCGGCTCTCCGGTGCACGCGCCGTCTGGGCTGTAACCACCGCCGCCGCTACCGCCACCGCCGCGGTGTTATCCGGCACGATTTGTCCGGATTTTTTCAACGGTTTTATTTTTTCACTCCACGTCCCCGGAGGCTTCCGAAGGAGCTGCCAGCGATGCGGAGCGAAGCGTCGGATGCGACGCCGGACAGATCGGCTACCGTTCCCACGCTGGCACGTGTAGGGGCGGCACGTGTGACTCGTTTGAGCGAACAAGCGAGCGGTCCATTCGTTGAGGGCCGCAGGACAAGAATATGGATGGGCACACGTGACTCAATGCACATGTGACTTGAAGTGAAGAGCGTAGCAGGCTGTGGTGGTGTCATGCCGTTATGGGCCTTTAAAGTAGAAATATTTTTTTCAGAGGGGACCCCTTTTTTACGCACTTTTATTTAACTCACTCTGTCTGTTGTTGTCGTTATTGTCGTTGTCGTATCCTCAAATCTTGTAACTCAATTTTAACCCACTTCCCAATGTGGTATCGACTGCAAACTTGGTATACTTATGTCATATTGATGACAATACTATATTCTATCAAAAAAATTTATTTTTAAACATTCATTTTTATAGGTTATGCTTTTCGGCTTGGGTCTAATTGTCCACGCTCAACTGACGTTGGCTGTAAATCACCACGGTCCCGTACGTTATGGCAAGCGTTGCGGTCACTTCCTGGAGTCGTGGAGTTCTGCAATTACAAGTAAAGCATGTTTAAAAAATTTTTTTTTATATATTACTTATTTCAAGTTCTAAGCTCCTATCGATATGAGAGAAGCGGTATAGACGAGAGATATAGCGATGCAGTGAGACAAGAGAGATGTGGACAAAAATAGAGACGGGAGTGGGATGAGACGTAAAAAAAAAAGATCGAGATGAGAGATGTTCATTATTTCGCTTTCATGCTAATTAACTCGCAATGCTGATTCGAATCTGAATCTTTCAAGCTTGACATTTGATGCGCCCTTAACGAAGACGGGGGGGGGGGGGGGGCAAGCAGCTCAAGCAGGGGTTGGCAACCTGCAGCTCCGCAGCTCGTTAAGGACCGCTTCGTGACATTATTTATTTAAGACGCCCACCGTCTCGTATTCACGCGCATTGCGGCTCTTGAAATATTCAGGTTCTGTTTTACCGAATTCGAAAAAAAAATATTCTCCTTGTTATTTTGGCTGCCAAACCCCTGGACCTAGGGGAAAGCCTCCTCCCGAGTCTCAAGACTTTTTCAGGAGGGTCCTGCCACATCAGCACTGGGAAGACAAAGGTTGCCAGGCATGGTGTTGGCCACAACCCCCCCACCCACCCGCCCCCATCATTATGCCTTGCCGACCTTCATAGGTGCTCGCTAACAGCACTCGTTCCCAACAACCTGCCAAAGCCTACACAGGGGATCTTTGTCTTTACATGGCTGCCGACCGCTGGCCTAGCGCCGCCGCCACCGAGGGTGCCAGAGAGAGCCCTGTGGGGGAGGCCCGAGTGACGGTGTGTGGCGGTGGCGGTGCCGTTTACAATTTTTTCGCAGGCTTCATCTGGTCGCGGTACACCCTGGTCATCATCCCGCGGACCTGGGCCCTGTTCGCCGTCAACTTCTTCGTGGGCTGCTGCGGCACCGTGCAGCTGGGCCGCATTTGGGTGTAAGTGTCGCGCAACGCCGCTCGGCGACTTTCTAAGAGGCGGAAATGACGATTTAGAAAAAGTTTTTTAACGAATATTATTTTGGTATTTTTTAGACGTATATTATTTTGGTTATTGAGCTTTAACTGGGTATCCGTCAACACGGTCTAACAGACACTGACTGTTTCGTCTCATCCATTGCTGTGTTCAACCACCACCACACTTGCAGGTCACAACAACACACAGACACTCACCCACCCAGTCATCACACTGCAGGCCACAACAACACACAGACATTATTATTTGGTTCTTACGGTTAAGTCACGTGACTTAACCGAAAGAACCAAATAATAATTCCTGCAGTCACGAAAGTTCTAAAATTAAGATTGAACACACAGACACTCACCCACCCAGTCATCACACTGCAGGTCACAACAACACACAGACACTCACCCACCTAGTCACCACACTGCAGGTCACAACAACACACCCACTCGCTGGCGATGATTATGGTCAGTTTGGTTAAAATCAAACGTCACGATGAACGATGCAAATTACACTCAGAGGTTGGTGCGGTTGGAGATTAAAACGCGCTAGCCGGTTGTTTTTAGTGACTGCGCCACGCGATGGGTGGCCTGCGTTCACGCTAACGGTCGCTTCGCTCGTCCTTTCAGATACCGGCAGAGCCTGGGGAAAACCGGAGAAGCCCTGGCGGAAATAGAAGATTCGGCATAAAGCCTCGACGGCGAGAGATGTCCGATGCGCTTTCGGGTTGGATGGCGCGGGGTCCGGCGCCTTGTCTGACATTTCGCTCTCCACGTGCTGGCAGCTTCTTTCAGGATGTGTTTTTCGGGTTGTGCCGCGGTGTTGTTCGGTTCCTCCAGGAACCCGGTTGAGGGGCTCCCAACTCGTGCTGCAACATTTCTCACGAGCTGAAATGTCGCAGCCCGTGTTGCCGAAGGAGCTCCCAGCCGCGTGGAGCGGAACGTCGGACCTCGCGCAGAACGACACGCGGCACAACACGAACGCGCATCGGAGAGGTGTACACCTCAACCGCGAAACCCCCACACGGCTGCAATGGGTTTGACTGGTAATTACCCACGGGTGAATTATCTGGGCTTCATATTGTGTGCTAGCGGATTCTGTAATCGGCTGCTCGTCACTTGTTGAGGGTCTGTGACTGATCGTAGTCGAGGGTTAGTGCCCACGCCACCGCAAACAGGAGCTGAACAAGACGCTCCCAGGATGTGGAGCAAAATGTCAGACACCACCGCGCCAAACTACGCGCGGTGTACAACCCGAAAACGCATCGGATAGTCTCGTATAGCGCAACCCGTGAAAACCTACGCAGACAGAGGGGAGATGTTGCCATCTGGAAATGCTCAGCAAGAGGCACCGTCCCTTAATGATCGGCGCTGCTCTTATCAAGAGGTTGCTCTCTCGCACTCACCGTAAACATTTCATGTTAAGGGCGTGGTAGTAACGCAAGCACATCCGGGCCGTGTTCTTTGTCGGGGCCTAGCTCAGGCTTGAGCCACCCAGTCGCTTTGAGCAGCTCGGCCATGGCTTTGCTCGGCTCACGGAAAATCCTGAACACGGCTGAGATCAGCTCGGAGCCGGCTCGGGTTAAGGGCATGGCTCAGAATCGGCTCACTCGAGCCAAAAGCAAACCCTGAAGCCGTGAGTAAGAATGTGCCAGAGAGTAGGGGGGCACTTGCTACAGTGGGTAACATCACCTGAATGATAATGACAGTGAGGCATCTCGTATTTGGTTGTTGTTGTTGTTGTTTTATCTGCTTGTATTTCACGGGGAGAGATAAAGGCTCAGCGCTGAAACCCTCCCAGCAATAACCTGGCAGGGATCCAAAACACATTTCCGTAAGACTTTGTGCGAATTAAGAATTTGCATGCGGTACAACGTCGCATATCCGACCGTCGCACATTTGCCCCGAACCAAGTAACCGCCACCCAATTCCAGCTCGCGCGGTATTGGCGCACGGTGTAACGGTAATTTTTCTAAAGATGTTTCATGTTTTAGTCCTTTTCACAAACCCGCCTGCACTTTTGCCCCCAGCGACATCGGATGTGCGACGTACCGCAATCGGATCCCACCGAATTTCTTGAGTGTAAATAGATTTTTTTGCTTTTTCCTCCAAAAAATATAGGAATCCTGTCGGAAACATTTTGTTCCTTTTTTGGGTGTTGTATTTTAGAGGGCAGGTGGGTTCTTTCGGTGACCGCCCTGGACGTTGGTGTTCATATTTGACGGGGGGCGTGCGTACATTTCACCGTTTCGTTGGGATAAGAACTGGGACGAACGGAAGCTGGGGATACGAACGATGCCGAAGACGACTTCTCGTCAAAGGTTAAACACGTTCACGCATCTGCGGGACTGGAGCCGACCTCGGGGGCAGATCACGGTTGACGAGGCCGCATGGCCGTCGTTGAGGCCGACGTACAACACGACCACGATTTGACATCATACCGTGGTCATGTTTGACATCAGCCTCACGGCATCTGTCATGGAGACCGCCAGCTTCGGCCGGGTTCAAGCGACTGACGACGTGGCACACGGTGGTCCAGATGCCTTGTGGCCCCCAATTAATTGACCCCTAACCTTTTTTCGTTCCTCTTCGCTCATTCGTTTCTGTTTTAAACAAACCTTGCTTTAAAAAAAAAAGTAAGTTTTTAGAGAATCAAATGGTGGGTCACAAGTCATCTGGAGCACCCTGTACATGGTACGGGTTGCGTGTCATCTAGAAAGCATTGGCATTGCCGTCACATCTTGCTCAACATTTCCCAGAACGCTGTTCGGCTGGTCTCGGGAGCAGGGGTGGTCGGTTGCGTAAGGCACTACCATTCGAGTTCACAGGCACCGCCTATCCGTGACCACCCTTTGTAAGTGCTGCCTATATCTGCTATAATCCTACGGACAAAAAGTCGAGAAAACATTGAGCACAAATTAAGGTGGTGAGATGGATGTTGGCACATGCTAAAATAGTTCCGGGAGCACCGTTCAGGGCTGCTCATGTTGACATGAAACGCTGTGATGCCTTTGTCTATTCCGCTTTTTGTATTGAGTTTTGCTGTCCTTCCCCTGCACCTCCCATTATCGCGGTTGGCTACGTACGGTGCAAAAGAAGTTCAACGTACATGTCTGTTACCGTGTTTTCCGGGTTATAAGATGCTCCCAAAAAAAAAACACACGTGCCCTCCGTGTCGATAAAGTTATACAAATCTGATCTCGCACCTCCAAATTTTGTTTTTAAATATAGGGGTGGGGTAGGAGTGCATCTGATAAGCCGGAGAATACGGTACGAAGTGGTAACAGTTTATCCGAGTTGTACTTCTGATAGTGAATTTCGACTTTGCTCTTCATTCTGAATCCCAACCATACGGGGTCAAGCTGTTTCACAAGTTTTTGACGCATATCTGGAATCCTCGAAAGCCTGTTGTAGGATATTGGCATATGATTAACGTCAATCTGATTCGGTTTTTTTAGTTTTATTATCAGAGTGGGGTGTCACTTGACTTTTTTTTAAGGCCCTGTTGTTTTTTTAAGCTTGTAACATCCGGCGAAGAGCAGACCTCGCCGGTTCTACCAAAATGTCCGATGTATGGACAGCGGTGACTCATCCAGCAGTGGATGGATCATGGCTGATGACAATGGCGACAATGATGACTCGACCTGCACAGGACACCTGTTGTATTCCGCGTGCATTTCACTTGCCTCCATGATCGCACAGCCCTCGAATTGGTGAATAAATCTCCTGGACTTATCCGTCGCTGCCTTTTTGTTTTGATTTATCACGGGCGGCTGAACCACGGGGACCGAAATGTCAACCTGCCAGCAACAAACAGCACTAAACGTTATTCTCGCGATTGTAAGATGCTCCGACAAAAAGGAAGACGCACCCCAACGCAGACTTGTGCCCGCTGTCAATGAAGTTACACAAAGGTAAAGGCTTCAACATAACTTTAGGGGCAAGTGCTGTCAGCGAACAGCACCTATGAAGGCCGGCACGGCACACGAGGGGTTCGGTGGTCAGAACCACGCCCGGCCGCCTTTGTGTCCCCAGTGGCGATGTTTAACACCTAGGCCAGAAAATTTTAAGTAGTATAGTGGGAAGCAATCTCTGGCCTCCGATGTTCTGTGGAGAAGGGTCATTACCCGAAACGTCGCCTATCATGTACTTTTTTCTTGACACGGGATGTGTTGAGTTATATAAAACGTGGACTGTTCGACAAAACGCTTGCCTGCCTTGAGTGGGCTGGATGAAGGGAATGGCCACATGCAACCTCACTGAAGATGCCACAGGTGTCTCGTGGACGAGACTTGAGTGATTAAAATTAAAAGTGCTGACTCAAGGAACGTTAAACTGCTCGGCCAACCCTCGGGCCACGTAGGGCGCGGCTGAAATCGCAGCCTCGCCTAGCACGGCATACATTCCCAGCATAGCTGCATACCGGTGCATATAACGACTAAGATCCCCGGTCTCGGCTTCAACAGACTGTTGGGAGCGAGCGCTGTTAGCGAGCACCGATGAAGGCCGGGTAGGCGCAACGATGGGTGGGTTGGTTGTGGACGGCACCCCGGTGCTGATGTGGCAGGGCCCTCCTGAATAAATCTTGAGACTCGAGAGGCGTTTCCCCTAGGTCAAGGAGTCGGCAACCAAAATAACAAGAAGGGCAATTTTTTTTCGAATTTGGTAAAACAAAAAATTCTATATTTCAAGAGCCGCGATGCAATGTGAATAACGTCACAAGCCATCTCTTAAAGAGCCGCATGCAGCTCCCGAGCCGCTGGTTGCCAAGCCCTGCCCTAGCTGGGTAAAGAAGTGTGTGTTTACACACATACGCCAAGGTGATCATTCAGGGCTGACTCGACCCTGGGGGGGGGGGGGAGGGCCTAGGACCGGTTCAAATATTTGCCGCTGTTAATTATATCGCTCGTGAGCGGGAATCGAACTCGGGTGGGCCGGGTTGGGGTGAGCGCGGTCGAGCTAAACCACAGCGCCTCTCCTCTGCCCTCCACGTGCACACACAACTGGCGTACGCACAGAGGCGGGAATATATAAAAAAGGTGGGGAGGGTGGGGAGGGGCTGGGTGGGGAGGATGGGGCTGGGTGGGGGGTGGGAGGGCTGGGGCTGGGAGGGGAGGGGCTGGGTGGGGAGGATGGGGCTGGGTGGGGGGTGGGAGGGGTGGGGCTGGGAGGGGAGGGGCTGGCCACCCTGTGGTGCCCTTATAAAACTCAACGTTTAACCTACTCACGCCGGCTTGTGCCCGCCCTCACAGTCGGCCATATTTGCGGAATACACCACGCCGCCGTTGACCCTGGCCATTGACCGTGCAACTAAACGTTCCTACCAGCTCCCTCCGCAGGAATGTGTTTGTTAAGCCCTCGAGTCTGTTCATTGTTCTCCGAGCTGAGCACCCTGGTGTTTGAAGCCGAATTGAAAGGCGATGCAGCATGCCCCATGGGACATGCACGATGGACGTGCACATTTAAAAGATGCCGAACGAGGTACACGTGGATTAAGAGGACGTACGCTTGTTAAAGACACCATTCAAACTGTTAAGAAACACAACAATAATAATTAGCGGGTTTGGCTCAACTCTTTTCGTGATGTAACAATCCCAACTTGGCACCTGCACACAGGCCGAATTCCTGGCTCCTTCTCACTGGTTTGATCACCCCCCCCCCGTTTGGCTGCCACTCCGTCAACATTCTTTGCCATCTGCCATCGTCCCTTGTAGCCACGACACACAACGCCTCAATCAACATCATCATCTCGATTTAAAGCTTTCGTGACTGCAGGGATTCATCTTCTTGGTTCTTTTGGTAAAGTCACGTAGAAGGGAAATAATAAAATAATTAAAATAAAACATAATAAAATACAATTCTCACGACGTTTCGACCACAACGCAAGCAGCCGTCCTCAGGTGAAGAGCAGGTCTGTCGGAAAGACAGCGTCTGAATGAACACCACCAAGCTTGGCAGCGTATATTTAAGCTGGGTTAGAGGGGAAAGGGCGCCTTGACAAAGCAATTTGCATATCAACAGATCTCGAGTCTGTTCATTGTATTTTATTATGTTTTATTTTTATTATTTTATTATTTCCCTTCTATGTGACTTTACCGAAAGAACCAAGAAGATCATCACCCTCATCAGCTGTGACCAATCCCCTGCTGGATGGAGGCCTCCCCAAGCTCACGAGCCTGTGATGTAATAATAACTCACTAACCCAGTGATTCTTAACCTTTACTGCAGCCTTGCACCCATTTGGTTCTCAATCGTGAAAAAAAACTATACGGTTCATAAATATAGGGATTGATTAAACAAACTAGTTGTACTTACGTGCCCGTGCTAAAATTACGTTTAGATGATTTCCCTCCTAAAAAATGTGCCCATGTCTCGCACACCATGAAAGGGCATCTCGCACCCACAGAATGCGCGTGCACCCCAGGTTAAGAAGAACCACTGCACTCACCCCGAGCTGCATCTACATACACACACCGCTGGATTCCAGGCCACGTGCGTATCCACCACTGCTCCGTTACACTCCCCGTATATGTAATTGTAGCGGTCCACGTGAGTGGCAATCAGTCACAGCTGGTACTATCGGATGTTTGGTTCCGTCTTATAGCAAGTTCAATATCTCGTTTCCATTTCGGAGCTATCAGCAGACGCCAGGCTGTGATTAAAATGAATAGCATTTGAGACACTCGATAAGATGACTTCAGCACAAAAAAATCCACTTCACTTGCAATTCCGCTCCGCGCAGAGAAATACATCGAATCGCCGTGCGCCACTCAACCAAGACGGCTCCTCAACTTCAACAAAGAATCTGGTGATGCTGCTGCTGCATTGGCAGTGGTGCACAAATAAACAACAGCAACGACAATGAAAACGCAACGCATTCATCAAATAACACCGCGGCCTTAAAATAAGGAAAAATGTTCAAAAAAGGCGACAGTTTTTCGGTAACGATCCTTTTTTTCATGCGCTATACAAAAAAAGGCAAAAGCCCCCCCCAATGTTTTGCTGTAACGCCTTTGTGGGGGCACACGAAGCAGTGGGGGGGGGGGGGCGCCGGGCAGAACGCAAACCACCACCGCACCTCCGATTAACACGGTTGGCTACGTACGGCACGAAGAAGTTCAAACAAAAACAAGATCACCCCCGTGTAGCCTTGACAGACTGCTTAGGGCAAGTGCTGTTAGCGAGTAGCATCTATGAAGGCCGTAACGGCACTCGAGGGGATTGGGTGGCCAGCACCACGCCTGGCCGCCTTTGTCTCCCCAGTAGCAACGTTTACACACTGCACCGGGTACTCATCTGAGGCTAAGTCGACCTAGGAGAGGCCTAGGACCGGTTCAGATAATCGTCACTGGTGGTGACCGTGAGTGGGAATCTGAACCCGGGTCGCTGGGTTCGTAGCGCAGTAGGCGAACTGCTTCGCCACGTACGGTGCGAAAGAAGTCCAAGGTACATACAAAGCAAACGCTTGGGATTCCAAGCAGCTCGAGCGGGGCCCAGCATTCGAAATGAATACGGGAGCGGACAACAATAATCTAAACAGCAAAGTTATATTAATTAATATTTAAAAAACTCCCAACGTTCCTCATTATTAACATTTTCTTGTAACAAAAATCTCCATAGGCTGACGTTTCAGGCAATGGGCCGGTCTGTGCCAAATGCTCTCTTCCAAAGATGAACCAAATTCCCGTCTGCGAAGGTGTAACATTACCTGGAATGCCGGCCAATCACAGCGTCAATTCTATTCAACAACTTCATTCTATAGCGTTCTATTCTTGCGCAAGACTGCCGCGAGATGCCAACATCGAGGTCCGCCCGCCACGACGAAGAGAGGAGCTTCACGAGAGAGAGAGAGAGTTGGTGTCGTGTTTGCTGATCTTCCTCCTCCTCCGTTGAAAAAGCGCAGACTCCAGCTGTTCGCCACGTGGGACCGTAGCTTGGGTTGCACGGCCACAATCGCACTGTCTGTGTTTCTGCCGACAAACGGCAATAGGCGATGTTCACGATGGATGTGACGAGTGTACTCAAATGTGTGCTCGTGCATTGTCTTAAATGTGTGTTCAAGCAATAGGGTTTTTATTCTGTATTTAATCGGTTTCCATAAAATAAGTGTCATTCGAGTGTGATTTTGAACGAGCGCTGCTGCGTTTGCGGTTGGACATTATGCCACTAGGAGCAGCCAATGCGTCTCGTTAAGAAGAACGCAGATTCCCCCCCCCCCCCACCTTCCATGGTGGAACAGCACACGCGGTGGACTTACAGTGCAGAGATCGCCCGTTCAGCCTCCCGGCGCGGCACTTGAAACAACAACAACAACAACGGGGCATGTTTCTCAAATCCCTCCCGCCTCTGTCTACCCAGCAGCGTCCTCAAGACTCGGATTTTATTTCAGCTCGTAAGGCCCACTGAGCTTACTTACAAGGCCGAGCAGTATAACACGAGCCGTCCCTTGGGTACAAGGCGATTCGGGGTGACTGCCCCGGGCCCTGCGCTTTGGGGGGGGGGGGGCGCTTCGACGTCACAGCGTCATATGGAATACTTCCGGTTAAGTTTGAAGGGGGGCCCACACGGTGGGATTCCCCCCCCCCCCCCATGATCTTGACCTCTACCAAGACGTGAACGAGGAGGCCAAACTGCCCTCGGGTGGATACCTCTCCTCCAGCAGTGGCAGAAGAATTAAATAGACAGCGCTGCTCTCGCACTGTCCTCCACACACACACGAAGATCGCCCTACTCTG